TTAATACGACAGAACAGTTGACCTGACTTCGTTCTCACTTATCATCCTTCCAATGACTTCTTTAACCTCAAACCATCGAGTGTAGAGTGAGAAACATTATTAAAAAAACAAAGCTATTAACTTTAGGTTATAATAGATAGATAGATACGCTTTATTGTTTCCTTCAAAAGGTTACATTACGTCATGGTCGTAGAATACTGACGGACTATATATGTAATACTTGTCAGATCCGTCAGTATTTTTTCTTTTATACAACTTAGAATGGCAAACAAGCTGACGGCCCACCTGATGGAAAGTGGTAACCGTCGTCTATAGACATGAGCAGCACCATGGACATAACAGAGTATACTGTTTCGCCCATAATACCCCGATATACGAATACGAAATTTCGGAGCCAAACGAAACACGAATTTGATGTTAAAATTACATAATACATGCCGTTTGGAAATATTAAAAATGTTAAAATATTGTTCCTTTGGACTTTTATGTAAGGATGTATGACGGACGAAATGTTAAATTCCATTTATTGGTCCGATTTTGGTATAAACAAAAACACGAAATTGAGTCCGAAATTTCGGAATTTCATTTCATGGTGGACCCGCAGTTTACAGCTGACGGAACTATGAGGTAACAAACGTAAGAAAAACAACCATATTCGGTCGAAAATAAAAACCCCTTCTTTTTTAAAGTCGGTTGAAATGATAATACAGAACGATAAAAACACAGCTACGTGTCTGGCAAACAACTGTACCGCAGTGTGCCTAACTGCAGTAAAAAAGTTGGTTATGGCCGCCCAATGGTGATTTCGCCGCGGACAACCTGACACAGCTGTCGCGTATTACAAGGGGGAACGGAATACAGAATATAGTTATGTGCTCACATTATGAAATCCTTACAACTTGCTAATCAACATATTTTATATTTCATTCATTTATATATAATTTTAATGTAAGATTAATTACATTTAAAAAATAAATATTTAACAAGCAATAATATTTTATTACTTGTTAAATATTATCTTGTTAATATATATTGATATAATATATATATATATATATATATATATATATATATATATATATATATATATATATATATATCAGCGTGGAAATGCAGGAAGTCTCCTAGGTACCATTTGAGCGTGATCACAGAGATTTTTTATCTTTACGTATTTTTTTGCATATTACTTTATGCTGATGTATGTATTATTTATTGTGTAAAGGTATATTATTTACTGTGTATACCTACTGATAAGAACCATCAAAATCGGTTAAAACAGCCAAGGACACCGCATAACATAGATACAAAAAAATACTATTAAACCAATACAAAAACAAAAACTTTTTAAAATCACTTCAAAATTACAACTGAATGGTAATTCCTCGTGTGTTGTAGAATGACATAACATTTACCACTTTCCATCAGATGAGCTGTCAGCTTGTTTGTAGTTCCCGATAGAATCAATCAACCAATCAATCAATCAATAATTTGGCAGGATAAACATGCTTTGTGATGATTCGAATGAACGTCTCGTAACATAACACGACAGCAAACACTCAGGTCTGATCATCGATGTGCAAATACACAAGATTCCCAATCACATACAAAAGTTGCATTTAAAACTGGCTCGACGTTTTTTTTATTATTATTACCACGACGGTGGCAAACAAGCGACGCGTTCTAACAAACTTTTTTTTTTATACAACTTAGAATGGCGAACAAGCTGACGGCCCACCTGATGGAAAGTGGTAACCGTCGCCTATAGGCATGAGCAGTGCCATGTACACAACAGAGTATACTGTTTCGCCCATGATACCCCCCATGCGTTGCCATTCCTGAGGACTCAGGTGTTATTCCTCTGTACCCAGTAAATGGGATATGGCGTGAATTTACTGGGTACAGAGGAATAACACCTGAGTCCTCAGGAATGGCAACGCATGGGGGGTATCATGGACGAAACAGTATGTTCTCTCTGTTATGTCCACGGTACTGCTCATGTCTATAGGCAACGGTTACCACTTTCCATTAGGTGGGCCGTCAGCTTGTTTGCCATTCAAAGTTATATAAAAAAAAAAATTCACGCCATATAGGCTACTTTTATTCCCAGACAGTAAACATACAAATATACTATACTAATATAACAGCTAGTAATTACGTAATTATCTTATAAATAGGAATAAAGTTCTTTGAGTTCAGACCGAACCAGTAGAGCGCCTGTTTTACATTGCAAATGATTCTAAAAGCATAGATGAAACGGACCAGTTTGTAGTCATGTGACCTAAACATGTCAAGTTTTCAAAAGTTTGTTATAATGCCTCGGTAGATAATGGGAATCCGTTGGCGAATATATAGGTCAGCATTTAGGTCGCTTCGTACATCTTGGGTTTTTTATACATCAATGGATACGAGTCTCTTATTTGATATCGAATTATTTTACAGCCATATAACTCTGTTCGGCTGGGGGGAAGGGGATTGTTAGTACCATTACTGAATAGTCTAATGAACCCATTGCTAGCAATACACGTAATCAAGTCGACCTCCACGCGGTTCCCCCTGGAAACCATCGTGGTTAATTCTATTGGAATTCGTCACGGTGGGCTAACTGACCTGCTTTCATCGTCACCTATCATCCCTCACTGGTGCCCCGCCAGTGTATACCGATAGCACAGACGGCGTTACCATTCCATTATCACGCATTAAAAAAAAAAACAATGCGCACGTTGTGATGTATTTTGTAATATTATAAAGATATTGCATCGTAATCTCCAATGCAACTATAGTAATAAATAAAAATAAATAAATAAATAAATATAACTACTCCTCTCCATCCAAAGGTTGCCTGGAAGAGATCGCTCTTAGCGATAAGGTCGCCCATTGTTTTCTCATTGTGATTATTTCTTGAAATTGTTTGTATCTATAATAAGTTTACTATTGTAATCTTTTGGAGGAAACAATAAAGAGTATCTATCTATTATATCTTCATTATATCCGCCGTCATTGCTAAAACTTTCAAAAAGAATGTAAACATTAATGATTCACCATTGTCTAGTTGCTTGTGTTGAATGAAATTTGGATCACATCATACACACAACTGGTGCCAAAGCGCCGTGTTCAATGGCTTTGTAATTGCTATGCTTTCGCGCCGTCCCGTCCGGCTTTTGTTTGTTAAATAATGGACTATTTTTTTTTTAATGAGTGACAATGGAATGGCAACCCCACCCGCGCTATCGGTATACACCGGCGGGGCACCAGTGAAGGATGATAGGTGAGGATGAAGCAGGCCAGTTAGCCCATCGTGACAAATTCAACAAGAATTGTTCACGATGGTTTCCAGGGGGAACCACGTGGAGGTCGACCTAATAGGGCATAGCAATGTCGAACTCCATTGCTAACAATCCCTTTCCCCCCAATAATGGACTATTAGTGTAGCATATCTCTATTATGTACGGACCAGCTTTTTGCTCTCTACTTCGTATACGTGGATTTTGCAAGAAGAAACACTAAGCAGTGGAGTATACTAAATGACAAAAGAGAAAATTTGTTACAGCAGTTTTAACGTGATACCAGAACAAACATTCAGACAGGCAGACAATTTTTTATTAATTATTGTTTTGGCTTCCATTGACATTGTTAAGAGCCCTCATCAATTTATCCGCAATTCATCCGCCTGCCAAGCGTGGCAACTACTGCCAACACAATGACTTCCAGGGGGAACCGCGTGGAGGTCGACCTAATAGGGCATATTGCTAGCAATGGGGCTGTCAAACTCCATTACTAACAATCCCTTTCCTCCCTTAAAAACTAATTAGATAAGAACATGTTGCAGATTGATGAATCTGGAGGAAGTAAGGTTTGTTTGAATCGAAGTATTCGACGTTCCATTGTTTCTGTCTACCCCAATGAGAGTCGAGAACAACAGATACGAGTACATATGTATATTGCATATCTATGCTTACTTGATTTTGGCGTTTAACGATGTTTACATTCTTGTGATAATTTTGTTGAACTACATATCAGACACGTATAGATAGACAGACAGATACTCTTCATTGTTTCCTCCAAAAGATTACAATAGTAAACTTATTATAGATACAAACAAATTACAAGAAATAATCACAGTGAGAAAACAATACGTTATAGTTTGTTATGAACTGAATTCCAAAAAACAAACGTCGATACCTGTACATTGGATTTAGAACAGCATTTCTAATCTTGACAATACATATTCATTATGGGACCAATATATAGTTATTGTAACTAAAATATATAGAGATCTAGATGTTACCCAACACTACTAATTACTCCTAACGTATTTCTAGTAAAACACATTCACAAACACAAGAGTAGCAAGTGATTTATTTATTTTAAATAAATAATTAACTGTATGTTAATGTAAAACAAATATGGGGGTAAATAATGTTTAAATAGATACTTAAAGCGTTTAAGTTGTAAGTGTTTAAGTACATAAGTCATATTTATGTTTTCGCTATTTAATTCATAACCTACAATTTATTTTTATACATGTAAACTTTTAAACATGTAATCATTAAATGTATTAACAATTAATAACTGTTAATTAAAAAAAAAGAAAGTTTTAATACAGTACAATTGATAAGACACTATAAGTATTTAAAGAAATCAGATTTCATAAAATATTATTATTATTAGGTTCGTTCAATTATTATTATGAATTATTATTATTAGATTCGTTCACAAAAAAAAATCTCAAATAACATAATTTTGTTGAAATAGGAAGTTTCCTATTGTCAACTGTCAAAATGATAGCTAACATTTTAAACTGATTAACTTTATTATTATTTATGATTTGCCTTTATATTTTTATATTTATAAACGCTATAACACGATCGCAGGCTGGGAATATCACTAAAATCCACAACGCTATCTAGCGCTCGGCAGCTGCGGCGGCGGGAGGGTGTCCGGGGGGTGTCTCGATCGACCGAGAGCGCGCCGTGCGCTTAGTGACCTTGCTGCGTTTGACGAATAAACATGTGTTTATTAAAGTGACATAGAAATAGTATTTAAACCATGTGTGCTATGTTTGATAAAGACGATACGCGGAAACGGTTCGAAAAAGAACTCCATAAAATATACCGGGAAAGATCAACGAAACCACAATGGACTAAGAAGAGAATAGCAGAGGTTATAAATTTTATAGAGGAGTACAATTGCACGTCTGACCATAAAGCGCTGCGTACCAGCGCACATTATCACTACTACAAACTTTACGATGTTATGGAGAAGTCACAGACCAAGATTTTGATAAAAAAACGTAAGAAACATAGTGATCCGGTAGTTCAAATTGTGGCGTCGGAGGACTATTATGATATTCTATCAACGATCCACGAGTCAACGAAACATGGCGGCCGTGACAAAATGATTTCTGCAATGAAATCTAAATACCTTATACCTGTGCCGGTTGTTCGTGCTTTTATTAAATGCTGTACACTCTGCAAGAAAAGGAATCCTAAAACAAGTTCAAAGAATCTCGGATTAGTTGACGTAATAGATCTACAGTCAATACCAGACGGTAATTATAAATGGGTGTTGCATTACCAGGACTACGTCAACAAATTCTCGTTTCTTCGGCCATTGACTTCAAACAGCATAAGCGATGTTGCATGTGAGTTGCTAAAAATCTTTTTAGAAATTGGATGCCCTAATACATTGTACAGTAATTACTCTCAAGATTTTAGTGTTGCCATCACTAGAGAATTGGATAGCATGTGGCCTGGTTGTAATGTAATAGCAACTTCTCGATACCCAAAAGACGAAGAAAATAAAAGTGATGGGGATATAGAGGATCTGATACGCGCTTGGATGATAGAAAGCAACTCTACCAATTGGGCGTACGGCATATATTTTGTTCAATACAAAATGAACTGTTCATTCCATAAGGGCATACAAAACACGCCGTACAAGGCATTTTTTGGGAAATCCCCAAGAGTAGAATTGACACCTTTACATGAAACGATTGATATTAAAGTAGAAAGTGTTGATTCAAGTGATTCAAATGAATCTGAAACATTACCCGCCCTTGAAGAAGTTTTGATTGAAGAAGAAAATGCTACCGATTGTGGCGCCTCTAGCAGTCAGACTACTGACTACAAATTTACAAGATATACAATTAAAAATGATTCTAATGTGTCCGAAATTGTGCCTTCTAATAAAATTGAAAGTGGTCCCAGTAAATTTTCCATTACAAAGTCTTGTCATGTTTGCGGCAGATCGGCTACATCGTCCTTCACTTGTTGCTCTTGTAATAATGTTATTCATTATAGTTGTGCTGAAATAATTCAGAAAGAAGCCCCATTCAAACTATTATGTTTTGTTTGCCAGGGTACTGATAGATGTGATGTGTCAGAAAATATTACTGCGAAAGAAGAAACTAAAATTAAAAAAGATAATGAAATGGAATGTGAAACTGAATGTAATAATAGAGCATCAAAATCTTGTTACGTTTGTGGCAAACCGGCTACATCGGCTTTCACTTGTCATTCCTGTGACAATATTGTCCATTACAATTGCGCTGAAAAGATTGGTCAGAAAGGATCTCCTTTCAAATTCTTATGTTTTATTTGCCAACATAATGATAATAGGGATATCTCGAAAACAGCACATTCAAATAAAACAATTGAAATTAAACAAGAAAAAACTTTGGTGTGTGAAATTAAATGTGATCATAAAAAAGGATCTTTAAAAACTTGTTGCCATGTTTGTGGCAAACAGGCTACACCGGCTTTCTCTTGTTATTCTTGTGACAATAACGTTCATTTCAATTGTGCCGAAATCATTGGACAGAAAGGAACACCTTTCAAACTGTTGTGTTTTGTTTGTCAGAAAACTAAGAGATGTAAATTGAATCAAATATAAAGTTTTGTCACATGACATTAAATTAAGTACAAATTAATAAATGCATTTTTAAATGTCAAAAACATTTTGACACTTGGCAATGAAATGTCAAGACGTAGTTCAGATGTATGTTAGTATATTTGTCGCAAATCTTATTTTTAATATACGTAACAAAGTCATTATTTATAGTCAAATCATAATAACCAGAGGAGACTTTGTACAAAAGTCGATTGCTTGGGTACCTCTGTCCCATTCGTGTTTCTACCGTGAAGCAGTTGTGTTTCATGGCTGTGTTTGAAGGGTGGGATATGGCGTGAATTTACTGGGTACAGAGGAATAACACCTGAGTCCTCAGGAATGGCAACGCATGGGAGGTATCATGGGACGAAACAGTATACTCAGTTATGTCCATGGTACTGCTCATGTCTATAGGCGACGGTCTCTTTCCATCAGGTGGGCCGTCAGCTTGTTTGCCATTCTAAGTTGTATAAAAAAGAAAACTAGGTAATAAAAAATTGTTTAATTCAATTTAATATGTTTTGTTTATCCGTGTATCAATGTCCACGTGTTAATTTTATTTTCCTATTCTTAAACGATACTTTATATAAAATTTAAAACATTCATAATGTACTTAATTGCCATTAAAAAAATGCTATATTTTCCATTGATAATAATAGTAAGTATGGTAATAAACCCCTTCCTTTGGTGTCTCAAACACCTGTGTCTTATGTATCGTGCATTATTATGAATTATTGTATATTTTAATCCTCCACACGTGTTACATGGGTAGCTTATATCCTAACTTAGCACATACTATATTAGTTCAATCGGGCGAATCCGCGGTATACAACTAGTACATAATGGGGGAAAGGGGTTGCTAGCAATGGAGTTTGACAGCCCCATTACTAGCAATATGCCTCATTAGGTCGACCTCCACGTGGTTCCCCCTGGAAACCATCGTGAACAATTCTTGTTGAATTCGTCACGATGGGCTAACTGACCTGCTTCATCCTCACCTATCATCCTTCACTGGTGCCCCGCCGGTGTTTGCCGATGGCGCGGGTGGGGCTACCATTCCATTATCATTAATTAAAAAAAAAACTAGTACATAATATAATATTATATTAGTTACCATTTATCATCAAATGTCAAATTAATTTGTTTGCCATTCTAAATTATATTTCGAAAACAAGAGAGCCTACCATGAATGTTTTCCAAAATTTCATAGCCGAACGAAACACGAATTTGATGTTAAAATTACATAATAGATACCGTTTAAAAATGTTGAAAATCGTTTCTTTGGATTATTATTATAAGATTTACGACGTACGCAATGTTAAGCGCTATTTACTAGGTCGAGTTTTTTTCGAAACACGAAATTGAGTCCGAAAATTGGGAATTTCATTTTATGGTAGATCCCCAGGTAATATCAATAAGCTTAGAAAATTACGATTACCATGGGCGACCTATAAACTTTGGGGTATTCAATCTCACGGGATAAATCCTTATTATAAATGCAAAAGTGTGTTTGTTGCTTCTTGGCGCCGTAACAGTTTACCGCGTTGCTAAATTAGATAATTTTTCGCAATTTTTGGTAATTCGCCACACGGAGCCAATTTTCTGGATTTAATCTAATTTGAGAGGTTAACTTTTTCCCTTTTCTTTTTTATAGATAAATTTGGAATATTAAAGATGTAATCGAACGACTTCAAAATTAAATAAAGCCAGTCAAGTGCGAGTCGGACTCGCGCAACGAGGTTTCCGTACAAAATCAAGTTTAATTTTTATTTTTGTAAAATAACTACAAATTTACGGTTTCCAGATTTTTCCTTTACTTGTGCTATATGACATTACTTCTTGCCAAATTTCATGATTGTAGGTTAACAGGAAGTACCCTATAGGTTTCGATTCCCTTTGCGATTGTCAAAATATGCGATGTAAATGGAACATAAACGTCCATATCTTTTGATTGTGTCGATTTAGAAGCTTGATTTTTTCACTGCTTTAAGAGGTTTTTTTTAATGGGTGATGATGGAATGATAACCCCGCCTGCGCTAATGGTATACACTGGTGGGGCACCAGTGAGGGATGATAATTGAGGATGAATAGGCACCGGGGGTTTTAGCCCATCGCGATGACTTATCTCCTCCGAGCATGTTGGTTTGCAGAGGGAACCGACAAAAAAAAGGTTTTGATTCCCTCTGCGATTGTCAAAATATGCGATGTAAATGAAACATAAACGTCCGTATCTTTTGATTGTGTCCATTATTAACAGTCCTTCCCCCCTTTTTAACTGCTTTAAAAGATTGCAGACCTGAATACATGATTTTAATTTCAACTTGATACCACCACGCGTTTCTAAGAAAAAGGGTCTTGACAGATGGACAGACAACGAAGTGATCCTACAAGGGTTCCATTATTTCCTTTGGAGGTACGAAACCCTAAAAAGAAAGTATTTGGAATAAAGAAGTACATATACCTCTTTTTATTCTTATAGTATTTTCGCATATGGGGTCAGCTAAGCCGTTGCACGTCGACCCATACGGATCCTTTGTGCTTCTCCCTGCCTTATACCACCATAACTCGTTATTACTTCATAACTTGGTCAGTTGTAAATCGATATTAAAAATTATTTTTTTTTATCTGGAAGGATATACTTACAGATTGGTCCCATAGCAATTTTATCGAAATCGGTAGTTAGCAGTTTAATTTTTAAAACAAAATAACTGGTTTTACCGTGACTAAAGCTTTTTTAATAAGGTTTTTTAATACTATCTTAATTTAATTTATTTTGGAAAAGTGCAACCTTTAGAGAAGAAATATTGAGCATGGAAAATTTTGGATCTGTCTTCTGATATCATGATGTACAATATCAGAAAAATGATGCAAAATTTTTCATGTAAAATTTGTCTTTACTACGATAGCAATATTATATTTTTGTTAATAACTAGCGGCCCGTCCCGGCGTTGCACGGGTGGACATTTTTACATTTTAAAAAGTGGCCATTAAGGCTGCACACGCGACGGAAGCTTAAAAATGGAGTAACTTCTCCCGTTTTCCCAACATTTCCCTTCACTGCTCTGCTCCTATTGATCGTAGCGTGATAAAAAGTATATATAACCTATATAATAAAATATATAAGTATATATATATATATATATATATATATATATATAATAAGAATACTATAACCTGCCCAGGAGTATAAAGAATAATTGTACCAAGTTTAGTTAAAATCCGTCGAATAGTTTTTGTTTCTGTAACGAACATACAGACAGAGAGACAAAAATTTTACTGATCGCATTTTTGGCATCAGTATCGATCACTAATCACCGCCTAATAGTTATTTTGGAAATATATTTCATGTACAGAATTGATCTCTCTACAGATTTATTATAAGTATAGATTATCGATTCGAGAACAGCTGACTTTTCGACGTCCTTAACAGTAATTATTTATTCGGTGATTAAAATCTAAAAAAGTTGGTATCAATTTGATGAAATATAATTCCAAATTTGATTAGATGCTTCATTCCATTTCCTTTATCATTGCATTGTGTTGGCTGGATGAGATCTCTCTCAGAGATAGGCGGACCCACCCTTGCTATCAAGATCTGTAACCATTCCGTTGGACTTATATCTCTTTTTAACTGACTCCAAAAAGAAAGTTCTATATTCGATATGTATATTTTTTTATACATGTCCATTAATTTCTCTATCAATTGTGGACCTATTCCAAAAATTCTTTTTTACATAATGTATCATAAATAATAATAATAACATAGAATACACCACGTGGAGGTCGACCTGATAAGGTATATTGCTAGCAATAGAACTAATAGTCCGCATTACTAACAATCCCTCTCCCCCCTTAAAGCTAGTATTGAATATATACCTACCTAAGGTAACACGAACACATAAAATACATACATACAAATAGAGAGCTAATACCTTTATTTTCTAAGTCTATTATTGATTGAAAGCACATTTCACTTACAAAACTTGGTATACTGCCAATGTTGTCGCGCGCGTAAACGACTTCAAACCGAACACGTGTAATGACTCATACAAATCGGCTCTACTTTAAAAAGTTAATCACATAATTATTAATCGTGAAATATTTAATTAAAAATTATTTTAAATTTATTATAACTGATTTTTAAAGTTTTTTAAAATTTCTTGTGGAAGATTCTTATTTCATCTAATTTTTTACGGCTATGTAGGTACCAGAGAGAGACTTTGTATAAAATTTATCTGCTTGGGCACCTTCGTCCCACTCATTTTTCTGTCCCTAAGTCGCTATGCTTGCATGGCTGTGTTCCTTAGTTCTCAGGAATAATAACCAATGAAGGGTATCATGGGCGTCCCAGTATACTCTGTGATATATACAGTGTAGCTCATGTCTATAGGCGCTAATTACCACATTCCATCAGGTGGGCCTTATTTGAAGTCGATTAACTATAAAGATACATTTGGTATTAGTCATTAACTGCACATTGTTAAATAAGGGGGGTTTTGCCAGTAGTTGCCAAGCTTAGCAGGCGGGTTGGCAACTGCAGTTTGGCTTTTGGTGATGTTTTAAGAGGGACGCTGCTGCCCATCCCTCGCCCTCCATTAGTCGCCTCTTACGACACCCACGGGAAAGGAAGGGGTGGCTATATTGACACACAAATTTTAAAAATATATATATATATATATATATATATATATATATATATATATATATATATATATATATATATATATATATATATATATATATATATATATATATATATATATATATGTGTGTGTGTGTGTTTCTATGCTCGATGCCTGAATATTCGAACCTGCTATATTTAAAGATAAGCAGGGTTAAACCATTCCACCATCAAGGTCAATGAAAGATCAATGACCTCGTTTTTTAAAAAATATTTTACTATAATATCTTTATATATAACAATTATATATATATATATATATATATATATATATATATATATATATATATATATATATATATATATATATATATATATATATATATATATGGTGCACCCTTGTCTATGTTCTCGATGCCTGAATATTCACCAGCTTCTTGCTTCATGCACGATGCAAGATACGCGAGACAGGTGCTTATGGTGTCGATTATCGCTCCCGATGCTTTCAAAGAGAATACATTTATGTATTTTTGTAATTCACGCGAGTGACGTCGTAGAATGCAGCTAGTCTTGTAAATAATAAAAAATATTTTA